TGTATAATCATCATGCATGCGCCTCATTAATTGACTATTGAAATAGAATTAACGTTACATTGTTTTTTTTTTCTCGAGAGATCCTTTCTTTTCATATGTATTAAAGTTCTTTACGTAAATGTCAGATTCTGGAAATTTCCTTAATAAACGAGGCCTCAAGTGTGAAAGATAATAACACTGAAAAGATGCTTTGCATTTCTGGGAAAAAACGGATGCCTATATTAATCTTATTTATTTTAAAAAAATGCTATAGAAATTTTATTTTTCTCCACCAATATTAAGACACTTCCTTTTTTATACTTAAGTTTTCAGATTAACAACTAACCATTTTTATCCGTTTACAACTAATGAGAACAGGACTCATCTAAAAACGGCGTTTTAGCAGTTCAAACGCTAAGAAACAACATAATGGCGTCAACTCTATTGGCATCGACCGCAATAATGTTGTGTTCACTAATCGCGGTACTAATGACCAGCGGTACAGGAGACCGATCAGTTTGGTTCGTATTCGGGGACAAAAGCGACCGAGCCTTCTCGCTCAAGTTCTTCTCAATACTCGTGTGTTTCCTAGTCGCGTTTCTCCTCAATGTCCAATCAATCCGTTACTACAGCCATGCAAGCATCCTCATCAATGTCCCCTTTAAACACCTTATGGCTGTTTCTTCGGGTGGTCATGGTCATGGTAGTCTTATGATAAACCAAGACTATGTCGCTGCAACGGTTAACCGTGGGAGCTACTTCTGGTCGTTAGGACTAAGAGCGTTCTACTTCTCGTCGCCTTTGTTCCTATGGATTTTTGGTCCCATCCCGATGTTCATAACTTGTTGCATTCTCGTCTTCTTGTTGTACTTCCTTGATTTGACGTTTGACTCGATGGAATGTAGTGTTGGGGTAGCGGAAGCAGAGGAGCCGGAAATTAGAAGCTTAGCTCAAAATGTGTAGTAGTTTAGGGGTCTAGAGAGGTTGATGAGAGTTTGTTTTATGTGACATTTTGTTCTTAAAATTTGTAGTGATTCAGGTTCAATAATAGTTGAACCGTTTATAATTATGGTGCTTAGTGAATAAAATTGTTATCATTCACATGCCTGTCTAGATGTGAATAACACATCTAATTAACAGTAATAATTATGTGAAGGTGAACCATAATATGAACATACTCCTATACTATGAGATCCCATTTTAATTGTTCATCTGGTCAACAACGTTAATTGTTTGAGATCTCCTTGCATGTTGAAACAAAATCCGATATTTCAATTAAAAAAAGGGAGATAAACTAGAATAACCTATTTTTTTTTTAAAATAACTAGAATAATTTTATTTTTTTTTTTTATTGCTGAAATAACTTATTCTAGATTTTTTTTTCTTTCATAATACCAAAATTGTCCTTTACAGACTCTGCCGAGGTATTGGCAGATTCTGCCGAAACATTGGCACACTCTGCCAATATCTAAAAATACGCAGACTCTGCCAAAACATTGCCAGACTCTGCTGAACATTGGCAGACTCCCCCGAGATATTGACAGACTCTGCCGAAGTATTGACAGACTTTGCCGAATCATTGACAGACTCTACGGAAACATTGGTAGACTCTACCGATGTATTGGCAGACTCTGCCAATATCTAGAAATACGCAGACTCTGCAAAACATTGGTAGAGTCTACCAATATTCGGTAGAGTCTGCCAATGTTTCGACAGAGTCTGCCAATACCTCGGCAGAGTCTGCCAAGGAAAATTTTGGTATTATGAAAGAAAAAAAATCCAGAATAGGTTATTTCAACAATAAAAAAATGGTAAGGTTATTCTAACTATTTAAAAAAGAAAAGATTATTCTAGGTAAGTTTTTCTTTAAAAAACAAAAAATCTTCTCTTCATTGC